GAGAGAGAGAGAGAGAGAGAGAGAGAGAGAGAGAGAGAGATTGTGATTCTCAGAACTTAGTAAACATGTAGTTAATTTTTTCTTTTTTTTTCTTGTGTGTGGGCTGAAGGATTAGGTCCAGCAACTGTAAAGCCTTAGTCCTATCTATATGACCTCTCTCAAGCAATGGATTTAAGCCTTTTTCTTTTACTTTTTTTTTTTAAAGGTAAGTGGACCCCCCCCCCCATTTAAAACATGACCTAATATTGTATCTCAAAATATAAAACAGGATCAAGTGGATCTTCTCTGGTAGAACAGGGGCAGAGGTTCACTCCTCCCTCAACTTGCCCCCTCTTCACCTTGTCCCCTTCAACCCTGCAGATGCCTAAAGCCCAAGACCTACAGTCTTCACTTCTTTAGGCCCAATATTTTAATTCTGAAGGTAGATTCTTTCTAGAACACTTGCTTTGTGCCCACTTCTGTTAGCCCTTGCTTTCAAAGAAGGAAGGAATCCATTAAACATAGGGATCAAAGCATATTTTCTTTCTCTTAAGAACCAAAGGAATGGGAGGAGGCTTTAATAAGACACAGTGAGAGAAAAAAACAAATGTTTTATTTAGATAAATTAAAATGGCTGAATCACTGATATGAAATAAAGCTCAAATTGAGTTATGAAAACCTTGAATTCACTCCCTAAACAGAACCAAAATTGCTTATATGTTACCAAAATAGCTCCACTAGAACAAAGTAGATTTGTATTTCTTAATATGTGAAAAAAGGTAGGTTAGGTTCATATAACAAACAATACACGCTCTATAAAGTCTCAGGATACCCAAATGTGTTCTGGTTTGGTTATGAAAGAAACCACATCTAGTTGGTGTTGGCAAGCAAGCCAATGAGGTGTGCAGCAAACAAAAGCTGTCACTAAAAACAACTCAACAGGCCATTATGAGTATGAGCCCATCATAGTCAAAATCCTCAACTGTGACCAGCAGGACCAGCAAGGGGGGCTCTAGGGGTTATGTCCAGCAACTGCAAAGAAAGGAAACTGCAGCAGAATGCAAAACAGCCAACAGCAGGGGACGGGTCCATTCCTCAGCTTTGTTGCCTCAGACTCATTCCTGAGTGCTAGGTACTCTGCAGTCATCTTGAAGCCAGGCACTTTATTCCTTTGGGTCTTCTCTTTCTACAGTACCTGTTTGCCTCTCTGACTTATGGGGAGGCTATTTAAGTAAACATTATGCCGACATATATATAAGGCAATGGAATAAAAGAGTCAAGAAGGTTGTGCTTTGGGAAACTAAGGAGAGAAGTGGTAAGAGCTGCCAGAAGGAACAGGTAAAAGAATTTACAATGAATGTCAAACTCATACCACTCACTTCCCAAGCTTTCTCACAGAGCTGAAAATGTGGCAGGTGAGGCTTCACTATAGCCAAACACAAGGCACAGGCTGGGTAAGTGGGGACAGCATACAGATATAAATCCCAAATTAACACTAAGTGATAGGTTTCTGGGGCTTGTAAACTGAAGAGTCTGCTCAACTTGAACAAAGGAAGCTGAGATACCTACCTGTCTGGGAGACATGGTAGTTACTCAGGCAGGATGACAAAGGTATCATAGGCCTGAGTGCAGCATGGATGCCTCTGGCAGACTTGGCAGGGGAGGGGTTGGCATTATATACAGCTCAGGGGTGATGCTGGCAGACAAGCTTGAAGTAGGAAGAACAGAAGAGAAACTGAAAAAAAAGAAACCTTGAGTTTTCCACGGATATAGCTATTGGATGTAAAAGAAAAATACATACTACAAAGAGTTAAGGTGTCCTGAATGTATCTGCCTATGAATAAGAACTTGAAACTAAAAAGGACAAGGTACATTACCCTCAAGTATATTTCATATAAATCAGTTATCAAAAAAATACCTTCCAGGTACAGACATACTATTTATGGTACAATATATACAAACATAGCAGTATAATTCAATTTATTGCTAGAACTTTATTTGGTTGTTACAAAATCTGTAAGGGTGTATATATTAAAAAGGAGGAGGGCACGGAAAGCAGCCAGAAGAGCAAAAAATTATCAAGTTTCCTAAAGTGCCAGGCTAATTTTAACTTTTCCATGAAAGTGAAATAACATAGATGGGTAAGGGAAATGTTAAAGAAAAACATTTTAAAAGGGAGAAACATAAGCAATAATGACAAGCAGACACATTCATTAGAAGAGACGTTGTCCTGCTTTAACTGAATTTTAATACTTCTACAAAAAAATTTAAGGTTAGCTAACACCAAGCTGAATGCAATGTAAAGAAAAAACCAGTCTTTACATGTTTCAGGGTACTGGACTATACTGGCTTATAGGTCTTGGACAAGTTAAATGAAAAATGAACTCTACCAGAGAAGTTGGTGCCATGAGAGCTTCTCTAGTTTCTCCCTCACTTGACTACAGAAAAGTTAAGTTTTGTAAGTTTTCCTTTTGTGCTACCCAAAGATTGCCTTTGGGAACAACACAGCAAGTGTAACTCAACATACAAGTGACTTAGACCATTCCTTCCAGTTCCGGGACCTGCTGTACCAGGTCCATAAGGGAGAAGTATTGCACTTGCTACCATCATATGAAGGCTTCTGTTGTAGTGCCAGCTATAGTTTGGCATCCTCTGGACAGAAAGCCTGTATCTACTTCTGAGCTGATATCTGTAAGAAAACAATATGATTTCACACATTTCATTTCACAACTATTTTTGGCCTTAGTCATCTCACCAAGAAATCCATCAGGTTCTTGGTTGGCTCCCAGGTAAAATCTCAAAGGGGTAGTTTCTTGTTTTAAAAGCAAATGTACCCTTTTCCTCTAATACCCTGGGTGGCTAGTCTGAGACAGTGACTAGGGACTTGGGTTTTGCCATTCAGAATGGAGACGTTACTGAAGGTAGGAACCAGCTACAGCCTTAAGATAGACTTGTGTAGGTGGATAGGGAAAGATAATCTAATTCACTTGAGGGAAAATGTAGCTCCCCACTGGATAACTTTTTGTGTTCCTAAACCCTAAAAGAGGATTAAAAATGAGAAAATGAGAAAAATCCTCAAGAAGACTTCTCTGGTTCACATGTTGGGATTCATTGAGGGAATAGGAATAAACCCTCAGAAGCCAACTTTTTAAAGTATGGAGCCAGCACTGGTCCCACAGCATCTAGTCCCTGAATCAATGCCCCTATCTGCAGGCTAAACCCCATGGCAGCACCTTGTCCTTGGAGGAGGGATGAGTTAAGTATATGTGAATATAGTTTCAGTTGTTACCCAAATAAGTGATTTTTTTAAATAAGTAATTTGTTCACATCTTGCTTAAAATCATTCTTTCTACTTTCCACACAATATGCACAATTTTTCTTTCATTTTAAATATTTACAAACAGAAAAGGCCTATCTTTTGAAGACAAGACATCTTCTGAGTCTCTATAAAGTGCAGCTATTTAAGGCAAATTTATATGAAATATAAAAGGTGGCTTATTCTCTCTGTATATACATTTTCCAGTTTTAAAAGATAAGGTCTCCTCCCTTCAAAAAAAAGGAAGGAAAAAAAAAGAGGGCTTTATTATTTCTTTTCCTGGCAATTTTAAAATGTAAGATATTACTGGTTTCAGGAAATTATAGATTTATGAACATCAGATTATAAGTAAAATGGTTTTCTTTTTTAAAAAAATAACTTTTGTATAGCTTTTCAAACAAGTTAGAAGGTGGCAATATGTTTGCTACAATAGTTTGGAGGACTAGAGGGCTGATGCATAAAAGGGTTGTTTTCGTTATGTAAGTAGATTTTAGGTAGTCCAGGGTATACATCCATTCCTAAAATAACGCCTGTTGTGGCTAGACACCTAAAGCTACTCTTAGCTCCAGGAATGAGTATCTTCCATCTCCATTGGAATCAAATGCTCTCAAGCTCTCTGGATCTGGCAAGGTAGAACCTAGAGAGTTCCAGATTTCCTGGTAGGTCAGCTTCCCATCCACATCCTGGCCAGTCTTGTGGAATAAATCCTGAAGATCTGTCAAAAAGGAATTATGAAAAATGTATATATCTATTATATAGAAATTCAGTTAAAAATAGGCTCTTACAATATTGAAAAGAAAGCTATTTGCAGATTTGTTTCCAGAGGGTAACATTTAGAATTTCACTAAATCAGACTAATTTTTGATCCTTTAAGAATGAAAGGAATATTATATGACACCTTCCCCCCAAAATACAAGCAGTGGGAGAAATGCATGACCTGACTTTCTCTCTGTCCATGGCCTTCCCTTTCAATTTCCCAGATTTTAATCTATGTTGAAGGAATAGAGGCCTGTTTGATAGATAGGAATTAGTCTATAAAACAGAGTATGATATATTGTAATATTTCTCATTGAATGTCTGAGTGGGGACTGGAGGAATGTCTTGGATATCTATAAGCAGTAAAAATGTCAAAAATTCAAAGTTCTCTGTTTTTTTAATGTAAATTTTTTAATTTATATATGACAGCAGAATGCATTACAATTAGTTCTCTCAGTTTTGATAGGAAAACCAAAGCTCATAAAGGAAAGCAACTTGCCTAAGGTCATATAACTCTCACATGGCTAGATATAGACTAGTTTTCTTACTATCTATGGAACACTGTCTCTTTGGATCCATAAATTGAGCAGCTTAAGATCCAGGGACTCAAGAATACAATGAGATACCATTTCACAATCACTAGGATGGTTGTCATCAAAAAGTGTTGGCGAGTATGTGGAAAAGTGAATTAAATCCTCATATATTGCTGATGAAAATATAAAATGTGCAGATACTTTGGAAAATAGTTTGGCAGTTCTTCAAAAAGTTAGCAATGACCAGCAATTCCATTGTTAGACATATACACAAGGGGGATGAAAAAACATCTACAAGACCCTGCACACTAATATTCATAATAGTATTATTCCCAATAGTTCCAATGTGGAAACAATTCAAACATAATCAACAAAAAACCCCAGAAGAGACACACACACACACACACACACACACACACTCCCCCCCCATCCTCTGTCTCTCTCTATATAGTCTTCAAAGACTATCTTTCCTTAAAAAAGTTTTTTCTGTAGTTGTAAATGGACAGCATGCCTTTATTTATTTCATTTTTTATGTGGTGCTAAGGATTAAACCCAGTGCCTCACACATTCTAGGCACTGCCACTGAGCTACAGCCATATCCCAAAAGACTGTGTCTTTTCAAAGCATTGTCTTTCTCCACTGCCCCCCACACTCCCAATTTTCTTTCTGGTAGCTAAAAAACAGAGCAATGCCACCAGATGATCTGTATTTTTTTAATTCAATTCTCAAGACACTATTTCAGTAAATAGGATTGGAGAATTTCTATCAATAGTCTAACACTTAAAAGGACTTCATTTTGTCCTCACAGTCAAATAGAAGATTTAATTTCTAACATTAAAAAAGGTCAATATGGCTTACATTTCTTTAAAAATCTTCCTAAATTCTTTTTTTTCTTCATTTATTTAAGACTATACTTACATTCAACGAGCCTTTTGCTGTTTGGTACCTGGAAAGAATGAAAATGTCCCAAAGGGAGGGAAAACCACTGCAGTGCAAATCCAGTCCAAAAATGAGTTCTTGTAAACAACTTCTAAACAGGACCCTACTCTCCTGTCATAGGACCAGTAATGCAGCTAGTAAAACCACAAAAGCTCTCTGAAAACCAGAAAATCAAGTGGAACACTTCTTCTTCATGCCTGCCACCAAGTGGCTACAAGAAAAAACAATTTTTTTTTTTTTTGGGTACCATGAGTTTATATAACATGCTATGTATTTTGTAGCAGAACTCAAATAAAAATGATTGCTGCTTTGGGTCATTTCAAAAGTGTCTCGGGCCTATGTTAAAGATTGAAGTATAAATGTTCAGACTGGTATTCCTTAATCTGATTGAACAGCCAGTCTTTCCCTGATTCATACTCATCAATTCTTGATATAAGAGAGTGGGGATACAACTTATGTTGCCCTTCAATGTCACACTCTCCATCCCCCACACCAAAATAGGACAAAAATCAGGGATAGGATTGGAAAAAACAAAATGATAACATTTAAATGGAGATTTAAATCTGTAAGTTATCTATGCTTTAAGTATTAATTGCAGTGTGTAGGTAACACATTAATTTGTTTAACATATTTGTGTGTACCAGGAATTGTGCTAGAGATTAGGGAATGAATAAGACAGTGAATAAGACATGGACATTGTCCATGTAAATTACATTTTATATGACCTCAGGAAATCACAAGAGTGACATGTGCTAAACATGGGCAAATTCAAATAGCAGCATACAGGAGGAGGTTACTCCAGTCCTAGGAGTTAATATTTCCCAGTGGAATTGCAGCTAAGCTAAAGTAAAGAGCAAGAGAAAGGGAAGTGGAAGGAATGAGTGATTTTCCAGGGAATTAGCAAATGCAAAAAGGTCTTAACATCACAATGAGTAGAACACACTATTGGAAATAATGCAAATATATTTTATGTGAATCATACTTCTATTGTTTATTTTACTAATATTCAGAAAAAGTCCCCTCATTTTTGGAGGGCCCTGAAAAACTGGGTCAATTTTTACTTTATTTTACTATTTACACATTATTGTATTTGCTTTTCTGCCCTCTACACTATACTATAATATCTTTGAGAAAAGAAAGTGAGACTGCATCTTATACTGTATCCTCACTGCTAAGTATGTGGTCTAATGAGGCACTTAGTGAATGAATGAAGCTCATATGAAACATTAATGGGGAAACCCGATGGTATACTGGTTAAGAATACAAGCTTTGGTGTCATACAGTCTCAGCTTGAATTCTGCCTTAACCAATTATTTGCTGTTCAGAGTTAAGACAGTTTCCCTATCAGTAAAACAGGCATAATGCTTGAATACTTATGTTCATAGGAGAGATATCAGGATTATATGAGATGATATATATCAAGTGTCCACAGGAAGTACTCAATAAATATTAGATGTATTTTTTTCATAAGCTAAAAAATCATTAAAAAGTTATTACTTTAAACACTCCCACAATTATACCAAAGTATAAAAATTTACCTTCAATGCTAGAAATTCCTGGTAAGGAGACAGGCCTTAGTTGGGCAGTTTTCTCAATTTGGTCTCCAAGAAATTGTGAGAATTTTGGCAATGTGGATGGCTTTGATGTGAAACTCTGTACTTGTTCTGTAACAAACATGTACGCTTTAGTATAATCAAATTAACACCCAATTAAACTAGTATTAAAGGTCACCTTTTAGAGCAATTGATATGTACTTAATTTAAGAGAAATAGTTGAGAATTAAGAAGCACAGTGATATGTGAAGTTAAAGACTTGGATTGAGATGTATATAGACAAGTGAAGGTGAATCAAGATTACATTACATTAAGTTTTCAAGTAGAAGTCCTGCTGGAATATGGGATACAGGTTAAAAATTCCTAATTAAAAAGTTTGAAATGCTCCAAAATCTGAAACTTTTTGAGTGCCAACATGACACCAGTGGAAAATTCCACATGTGACATCCTGTAATGGGTCACAGTCAAAATGAAGGTGGGCTGGGCACCATGGCACATGCCTGTAATTCCAGTGGTTCAGGAGGCTGAAGCAGGAGGATCTTGAGCCTCCGTAATTTAGCGAGGCCCTAAGCAACTTAGTGAGACTCTATCTCTAAATAAAATATAAAAGGGCTGGGGATGTGGCTCAGTAGTTAAGTGCCCTTGGGTTCAATCCCTAGTCCCCCCAACCCCCCAAAAAAGGAGCATAAAAATACCGCATAAGATTACTATCAGGGGCTGGGGATGTAACTCAGTGCACAGTGCCTGCCTAGCATGTGTGAGGTCCTCAGTTCAAGCCCCAGAACTGCAAAAAACAAAACAATAGGAAAAAAAAAGTCCCCCCCCAACAACTATCTGACTATGTATATGAAACATAAATTTCATGTTGAGACTTGTCTACCCATACCCCCAAATATATATCCCATTATATAATATATATATATATATATATATATATTTTACAAAATCTGAAAATCTGAAATAATTCCAGTCTCAAACATTGGATAAGAGATACTCCAACCATAGTACAAGTTAGCATTATACATATGTAGATGGTAAGAGTTTAAGCAGCCAAGTGACAACAGCATAGAATCTGGATATTAAAGATCTTTAACATCCTGGGAGATGTGCATAAGCCTGGTCTGGGAATACATGCTACAAGGTAAGTTGGTGCTAAAAGAGGGTCACCATAAGATTATATAGCACCAAATGTTAGGACAAGGCTTCCCATTGTAGTTTGTTTCCCAACCAAAAGAATTCAAGGGAGGCTATATTGCTTTTTCAAACTGAATAATAATTGTTGGAGGAGGGGTCAAAGCCAACACAGTCTAGTGCCTTTGTTATGTCCATAATGGAGGTAAATGCATCTACTAATATTAATTAGTTATGTCCCTACCCAAAGTCAAGCACCCTTCTAAACCAATAATCCTACCATTATATATTAATGATTTACAGAAAGACTAAAATTTATTTTTAAGTAAATTTTATACAGAAATGAAGAATTCCATAAACAACATTTAGGGCTGGTTTAATATGTTATGACAGTAACATTTTTGCCTATAATTGGATGCAGACAGCATGGAGAAGTCTATTTCCAGCTAAACATTACCCATTCTTCCCTTAATAGACCAGAGTACAAATCATGTACAAAATGGGCTTTTTCTAAATGAAAGCAAAGTGCATCAGCTTCATCTCGGTGCGCTCAGGCATCACTCACTCGGTTCGATCAGTACTGCTGAAACACCTTTCCCACTCCCTGTGTGGGAGCAAGCTGCCCAAGCCTGCGTGAAATATTCACAAGCCAGCCCAGTGCTCACCTTCATCTGCAATCTCTGGAGGCCTGTTGCTCTCAGGTTTGTTTGTGAGAGCACTGATCAGCTGCAGTTTCTCTCGCAGCTTGGATACCTGAGAATTTGGACTCTCTTCCTTCTGCTCAAAACAAAGATCAAAGAAAGTTTAAGGTAGAAGTAAGATCTCACCTGAGTCTCCACTATTTACCTGACCCTGAGAAAGTTCCCTCTAAAGGCATTGAAGGAATGAATGAACAAATACCAGGGATATCTTTGTTGTTCAGTGTTGATATGTGTCTAGCTGGATCTGAGGCTAGACCATTAAGGCAACATTATGCTCCAGATGATCTGATTTGCTGTGAACATTTGGCTGATGGGAGAAGGCATGCATGATCAGCAAGAAAGAAAATGTACCCTTGCTCAGGTACCTGTATGACACCCATTTCCTAAATGAGGAGGGTATTTTTTTTTAGGAGCTATATCACACGAAGGAAATAACTGTCCTAAATATCTCACATTGCCTTGTGACCAGACCTCTTGAGGTAGAGCTTTATGCTGGCACCACCCTAAAAAACCCCCCAAAACCAAATTAGAAAAAATAACAAAAACAGCTGAACACAAACAAACCACAAGTATTCTTCTATACTTCCCTCTGTTCCCCTATGGTGATGGACAATGGATGGCAACAACTGTCAGAAACATAAAGGAGCTGTAATAGTTTTAATTCAAAGTCTTATTTGTTTAAATCTTTTAAAAAGTTTTCACCCTACACTTTGTTTTATTCCTAGGAAGATCCAGATTGGCACATAAAAATAAATTTAATTATAAAGAGAAAAGTCTGCCTTCTATAAGGCTAGTTTCTAACTGCTTATGCTACTATAGAAAGGTCTGATCTCATAGGTATTAGAACATCAATTCATCTCACATTTCTTTTATTCAATATGTATTTTTCTCTCTTCTATTGCTACCCTAATAGTTACAATATGTTTGGGTAGAACAAAAAAGAGAAAGGTATAGGTGAAGGGAACTGACTGACACTTAAGTGAATTAATGTCTGTATTAAGACTGCAACCAAAACGCAGGAAATGATTTTGAGGCTGGACACCATTTTTAGATGATCTATACCTTTGCCCTCCATCATAAGTAAGCAACTGTTTTAAGTCATTTCCCTAGGGAAGCCTTCCTGATCCCCCTCAACATACCCTATATATTTCCTTTATAGCATTCATTAGACTTATGATTAGTTATCTATGTACTTCTGTGTCAGATTTTTTGACTGATGGACTTTGAGCTTCACCAGAATAAGGATCACATGTCTATCCTGCTCACCATGGCCCTCCCAGCTTGGCACAAGATACATACCTGATATTCATTTATTCACTAATATACTAATTTACTAATTGCTTTGTCTTGAGGTTTTAGCATGTGAGACCAAAGTGCTCTTTTTGAGAAGAAAGTAGCATGTCACAAGCAGAGAGATGCTGATGCATTTATTTTTACTTTAGGTTAAACTTCCTCTTATTTACCTTTATGTTTTGGGTTTTTATGATATCAGTTCTGTTGGCCCCTTGATCCAAAGACTCTCTTTTCAGAATGGCAGCTCTATCACTCACCTTAGAGGGCAAAAAGAATAAGAGGAAAGATTAAATAAAAATAAACATTAAAAAATTTGAATGACATCTAGTATTTTTTTTTTTTTTAAATAAATATATATTTATTTTAGTATTTGGCGGACACAACATCTTTGTTTGTATGTGGTGCTGAGGATTGAACCCGGGTCGAATGCATGCCAGGCGAGCACGCTACCGTTTGAGCCACATCCCCAGCCCCATGACATCTAGTATTTTTTTAAAAAAATGGTCAAACTCACTTAAAGAGTCTAAACACTTTCAAGAGAAATGGCAGAGGAGTGGTAGAATGGGAAGAGTGAGGGAGGAAGGTTACAGAGAGACCAAGTGGAAACTGGTGCTTCTGGATGTTTCAATCACAAACTATGAAGTTATAAAAGGTGACAGAATTTTTATCCAGATCTAGGCTGGGTAGGATGCCATTAGAAAAAGTAGTAAGACAGATGGATACTATTACCAGTTTTTTATGTTAGAGAAAAATGAAATGGGAAAGCAGAGACAGTACAGGAAGTTTGAGGGTGTTAAGTTTTCACAAGAAGCCTTGAAACCTTCAAGGTATAACATTCATCAAATCATTCAAGGTTCTCAGCTCCTACTTAGATTAGCTGAGTTCAAAAGGGCTTTAAAAGAATAGGGCTCCTTTAATCTTCACAGCTTTGTAGTAAATTACACACCCCTGTAAAGCAGGAAGGGGAGGAGGAGGACAGGTCATCCTATTCTACCCCTCAAAGCCATATCCAGGCAACTTGCCAAGGCTCCACTGTGGCAGAGCCAGTTCAAACACTCCTTGCCATCTGCCAGGGTTTGAATTTGTGTTGGCTTGCTTTCAGCTTTGGTGGTTACTTGAATTTATAGTACAGTTTCCTGTATTTGGTTTCATATCTTTACAAAAGTATGTATGAAATCTTTTAAGGGTAGGGCCTATAGCTGTTAAGAAAATAATCTACAGGGAACCCACACAATGTATGTAAAAGGTAATTAAAACAAAACAAATCACATTCTATTCATTGAGAAATGAAAACTGCAGAGTAAGGGGGCATCAGTGATTTAGTAGGTTACTTGGTTTCCTGACATATAAAATGAGGTACTGGACTTGGTCATCTCCTAAGTTGAGTTGATCTGACCTAATCTATTTTAAATAGATTTCCTGACATTATATGCAGAGAGAAGTAAGATAATTCCGAAAGTCAAATTCAGGCTTAAAGAACTAGCCAGGTGTGGTGGTGCACACCTGGAGGAATCCCAGTGGCTCAGGAGGCTGAGACCCTAAGTAACTCAGGGAGACCCTGTCTCTAAATAAAATACAAAAAAGGGTTGGGGATGTTGGCTCAGTGGTTGAGCACCCCTAGATTCACTCCCCAGTAACACCCATCCCCTCTAAAAAAAGAAATAGTAGAAGATTTTTCATAACTGTCATTGTCTCTGTTCCTGCTTTAATGACTTATAAAAAAGATCAACAAGATTGCCTTTGGAAGTATGTGACAGAACTTCCCTACCAGTTGGGGCACTGGTAACAATAACTTGTCATCTCTGCCAACAACTTGTGGTGAGGCCTTGACAAACAACCTGATTCTGCCACATCTCTCTTTCCAAATCTGGTCTAGCACTGCTGTGCCATTCACATCATAGACCTAGTGTAAATACTAACACAGACATGGACTAAGCACATTACAAATGTGCAGCCTTTCAAATATGCCAGAAGACTGTCCTCAAAGATGATGGAACACCATCTAGGTACAAATAAAACAGTGCAACACAAAACCCGTCACAAAAGATCTGAAAAGGCTTACCATGCTGGAGGTCAGGTTTGTTGTGTTTTCTACTTCACTCAGAGCAAAAACCACATTGCTTTCTATCAGGTTGGTTCTCTGAATGAGATTACTGAGTGTCTCATTCATCCCCTCGAGTTTAAGATCATTCTGTCTCTGGTATGCTACTAGGGTACTGTTTACCGCCTCTAAAGAGTTATGAAGATACAGGATATCCTGGAGTGGAAATAAAGCAAGTTGCAGAATCCAGCTAAAGATGAATATTAGGCAAAGCAGAGGAGCAACACCAAATAACCATTATTATGTCAAGTTACTGAAGTAAACTCCTTTTCCTGGTTGTGACCATCAATTGTCTGTCTCTGCTTTGTCTCTTCCACACTAAATTGTTCCTAGTTTTCGCCCTCTGGAATTGTTTGACCTCAGTTTGACAGGAGGGGAAGGAAAAGAGGACTACCTACATGATTCACTCTCTGGTCCTAGAAAGCAGAGCATTTGAGAATTAATTTCCCAATGTTTACCTCACCTGCTGGCAGGAAAACCTGCTGGGTTATTAACTTAAAGTTCCATTAACCTAATTTGTCAGTACAAAACTACCTTAGGAACAATACCAATTACTGAATTGGCTTGTAACAAAACCATAACAACTAGTGCATTATTTAGTACAAGATTCAATTATTTTTATTGACATCCTCTAGAACTGATTGCTACTTAAAAAGGAATGATGACTATAGGTTTTAAAGGGCATTAAACTCAGGACAGAAATTCTTCTTAGTGAAGATTTCCTTTATTCTCTTTAATGTGATTCCGAACTCAATATTCTTTTTTCTCCTCTCTTGCCTTTCGTCTTTAGACTTTAGAAAATCCTGATTTTCAGGGATATGCTTCCTAACATTCTTAGAATTTACTGTGGTTTAAAATAGCCATCACTCTGGATTAATCTGCTATCCATCCATCTTTGACTTGCCTAGATTGCTATTTTTCATAGTTTCAGGATAATCTGGTTATTCTATGTCTTTCAAGATGTGAAAAGGAATTTACTCCATTGATTGACATGTAGGGGAAAAAGCAGAGTGCCAAAGAAAAGACAGGGCAGGATTCTGGATCCCAAGATTTCAACATGCATCCCTCTCTGCTCTCCAGCAAGTAGACAGAGGTTTGATGTGCCTGCCGAGGCACCATGGAGCTAGGCCCAAACTCCTCAGGCTTCCATCACACCCCGTTGTGGGCCACAGATCAAAAGTACCTGTTTCAAATTCTCACTGTGGGTTTTATTATCAAGTTCTGATGTAGCTGAGGGTGCTGGAATGATTTTGTTGCTTCCATTGGTCCAATTTGAGAAGTGCCGATTCTGTTAACATAAACGGAGCTTAGTGTAGGCAACAGTTACTAGGTCTACTTAACTATCTGGGAAGATCCTGTAACATTCTAGCCTCCCCCAGAGTGCACCCACAGATTAATCTATAGGCATTCCTTAAGAATATACAGTGTGACTAGTCTTGTGCTAGGCTTTGAAGGCATCATGGACTTTTGGGGATGTCTAGCCCAAAGCATGGGCTGGAGCAGTTGCACCCAGATTGCCCCAAGAAACTGAGATCCTCCTAGTCTGCTTCTCAGTCTCTAATGGAATGAACTCCCTACAAACCATTTCTCTGCTCCCCCATCACCATACTCCCAGAGAAACTACATAATCACCAGAACATTCCTGTGACCAACTCAGTCTAAACCTTATATACATTTGTTCCTATCAGTGGGAAAAACTGCACAGATTAATCCTTCACAGCCTATAATATGGCTTAGTATAAAGTACATCAGCAGGAGGATTACTATTGGCAGCCATGGAAGTTTAAAAAGAGGCAGACTTATTTACAACAGAATGTAATTGGTAAGAGTTATCTGTTTTCCTTGAAATCTGACAATGTAGGCATTTATCAACCCTGGTTTTATAAGAAAGAAAAAAAGCAACACTAAAGAGAAAAGGAAGGAAAACCAATAGTTCTAGAAAGCAAAGCAGACATTTTTTTAATTAGGAAAAAGTATTTCAGAAAATGATTAATTACTTGAAAACATGCTCAAGATAAAAGAACTGGTGAGTGAAAGGGGTCTCTATTATTATGGGTCAGAGTTCCTTAGTGGCAGATCCAACTAGAAGTCAATTGTCTCAATGCCTAGATCAATGCTTTTCCCTTTGGGTTAGTTCCCACTAAATAACAAGAATTTTTGTTTTTGAAGAAAATGAAAAATCCTCCCTCCTGAGCTCTCTGATAGAGCTCTGGTCCCCTTGGTACAAACTACCCAATTTAAAACTCAGATCTCTGAAGTTTGTAGAGAGCACGTGGGTCAGATCTAGAAATTAGTGTATGTGCTTTGACTAGTCCTGCTTCCACACATATAACTCATCTCTTCAGCAAGACAGCAAGGGCTGTGCCATCCTTTTACACCCCTCACAAATCCTTTTTGGAGCTGTTACCCCTAAGTGATTAATTTAGGTCTCTGAATGATTGCAGACACATGTAGCAGCATTAGGAGACCCAGAGACAGTTGAAAACAATTACTGGGCACTGTAGGGGTTTACTTCCATCTTAGCTATTTGTTGCTGCATAACAAATCATCCCCAAACTTTGTGGCTTAAAATAACAATAAACAACAATTATTCTCATGATTCTGTGACTGTGCTCAGCTGAGGTAGGAGGGCTGGTCCTGCTCTATGTGGTATAGACTGAGATCACATATTTAGATACCAGGCTGGAGCTGGAACATCCAAGATGGCCTTTCATCCTCTGATGGCCTCTCAGTGCTTGAGAGTTTAAAAGCCCTGCCCAAATTCCTGATGCTCAGAATAATGAGAAATAATAACTGAGGTGGTTTGTTGTATAGCAATAAATTGAGACAATTTTCCACATCCTTTTCCTTATTTTCTATTTTGCACCCTACCCATTCTATCCTCAGGAACAGTGTTTTCTCACTGTCTCCTCCAGCACCATGTTTGCAAAAGACTCAGTTTTCAGTTTTATTTTCATTAACTGCTTACTTCACAGGCTGCAGAACAGTCAGCACATATTGCTTATTAGATATTTTTAAAAAGTTATGTAGAGGGCCTGTTCAGATGAGTGGAAAGTTGGCATCATGACTCTTTTACAAAAAAGGGTGAGAAGCATGCTGCCTTTTTTAGTATCTGCTGATCTCCTTACCATATCACTTTGCAGCAATTCCACGGTTTTCTTGTGTTCATCCACAGTTTTTTGTATTGCCTCCATAGCTAGATGGACACTGTTTAAAGTATTGCCAATGGAAGCTACACTCTGAACAGAAACATGAAAGAATGTCATTTTTTTTCCCTTTTTAATAGCTCTATTAAGATATAACTGACATGCAAGAAACCATATATATTCAAAATGCTTTGATTATTTTGACATAAATATAGCAGTAAAACTTTTACCACAATTAAACAATAAACACTTATCACTCCCAGAAGTTTCTTCATGCCTTTCGTAATTCCTCCCATCCTATCTCCAAGCAACCACTGATACCCTTTCTGTCACTCTGTATCAGTTGCATTTTCTAGAATTTTATATAAGTAGAACCAGTGAGTGAGTACAAACTTTTAAACTGGGCTTCTTTCACTCAGCATAATTGAGATTCATTCATGTTGCAGCTACTCAGGATGCTACATTATATTGTATGGCCATATCACAGTTTCTCTACTTACCTGATGATGGACATTTAGGTTGTTTTCTATTTGACTATTACAAATAAAGCTGCTACAAACATTCATCTATAAGTCTTTATGTGGACTTATGTTTTCATTTCCCTTCATCATATGCTTTCTCATCAACACAATAGCTAGGAAGCGAGTCGCTGATAATACGGCAAATCTATGCTTTAATTTCTATAACAATCTGCCAAACCATCTTCTAAAATGGTTATGCCATTTTGCAGTTTTACTAGCAGTGTATGAGAATTCCCATTATTCCATATCCTCACTGAAACTGGTACAATCAGTCCTTTCAATTTTAGCCATTCAAATGGAAATACAATGACATATTGTGATTTTAATTTACATTAAACAACTAACCATTTTAATTACTTCAAATATATTCAAACTATGAATTCTAATATGTATAATTTCCTACATATATAAAACTAACAAATTTTCTCAGTTTAAAGAACTTTTCCTAGAGGAAAATAAAATCTTTTCTAAAGAAAAGATATTGGCTTATAAATGTGGGGCCAAGAGATAAGGTTCATCTACAAACTGCTTTTGTCAAGCCCTGCTGTGGGCAGGCAGATGGCTAGGTACAACACTGTGGACTGCTACTGGGTCAGAGGCAAATGATGACTTTTGAGCAAAAATGGGTAGGAACAATTTTTGGTTCTGAAAAACCCAGCATGGCAGAGATGAAGAAAAATTCCATTTATATAGAATCCTGTCGGCAACTATTGGGTAGAGCTGAGTACATGGAGTAACTTATTTTGCTTTCATTAGGCCTAAGGAACCTAAGTGACAGGATTCAGAAGCCATCTTTTTAAAAAACCCTGTCTTAAGGGAACATTAAAGAATGTCACCATTTGGTGGGTTCTGGCCTTTTATAAAAACATGCTGACAATTTATAGTGTCATATTAGTATTTTGATTGATTGTTTTGTTTTTTGGTGCTGGGGACTGAACCCAGAGCCTTGCACATACAAAGCAAGGACTCTACCAACTGAGCTATATCCCCAGCCCCCCCATATTAGTATTTTTAATCAAGGTAATGTTTTATCATACTGATATACAAGAATCCAAGAGGAAAAAAAGATAACATTTTCAACACTAAAAGAAAATAAATACATGAGAAGCATTGAAGTCAGGTCTTTGAGATGACTTACTGCTTCAAAAGTGAGCCACTTGTAATAAAAGCAGTATCTAGCATTACCAATATAAGGATTTGCAAAGACACAAGAGTAGAAGTCTCTAAGTTGGAATGCTATGTAAGCTCTGTTGTTACAAAAGCTACAGGCATTCAAAGACACCTACTGTTAGAGAATCCTCACTGGCTGGATGTATGAGCCCAGTAGGATACTGGAAGATAGTAAGCTCTTGTTTAGAGATTTTTTTTTTTAAAGAAAGCAGCTGACACAACCATGTAAACTCTGGAATCAAACTCTGAAACTAGTATTGCCACCAACTGCAAAGAGCCTGGTACACACTGGAGGAAGCTGCACAAATATTTGTTGAATTAATGAATGTAAAAATAAGTCAGTTTCCTTTTTTAATGAAAGACTGCCAGAGTTGCTTTTGTACTAATGCCTACAGAGGCCTTTTCCCTACTTGGCTCTTGGGAATAACAGCAAGAATCTGGCTTCATAAAAGATGTCTCTACCTTTTTTTTTTTTTTAAATGTGTAAAACAGATTACCATAACAGACAAACAGCAAACTGACAACTGAGCACATATGATGTTGTGTCTATAAAATAGCAAGTTTTGTTTTATTCATGGCTCAGGAATTTCTGTTATTGAAACAACTGAAATTTTTATATGCCAGTCTTTAACTGGCATATAACTGAATCAAACTTACCACACACGAACTTTGAAAAAAGCCAAAGATCCTAGACTTAATACCCACTCTTTGGGATTCTCTTACTCCTGAATCCTTTCTTCCATTTCCTGATGCAGGGATATTTCCTTATGTTCAGTTAGGTACATTCTTTCCCCTTCCAACCCCCATCCAGTTCTAAGGATTCCTAAGTATCATCCATCTGGGTGGTTCTTGCCTCCTTCTCTAGGTCTGAATCCTATGGATCATGTAAAGAGAAATTCTAAACTAGAATTCTAAACTAGAATCTAAGCATATATCTACAAGTGAATTGCTCAGAGGATGTGTACATTTACCTTTATAAAATGTCAAATTGTTTCCCAAAGTTATTTTTTTTCCAATTTAAACTATCAGCAGGAGTGTTTGCTGCACATCCTTAGCAACACTTGCTCCTTAAATTCTTACATTTTACTTTCCTTTACATCTTTTTTTAAGGGAAAATACCCAACTCTTGGCTATCTTTTCCTCTGGAGATGGCCCTCATTCTCCTTTGGATGTGTATCTAATTTCCTAAATACATCTCTCTGGAAACAAAAACAAAAACCAACTCTTTTTTTTTTTTTTTTTTGTGGTGCTGGGATTGAACCCATGGCTTTGTGCATGCGAGCAAGCATTCTACCAACTGAGCTATAATCCCAGCCCAAACCAACTCTTTTTAAACCATGGAAAATAGCAGAGATTTATGGTAACACTCATGTACAAATTTAGGGTAACACTCATGTAGTCTTTCATAAAGACTACATGAATGAAAAACTGAAAAGGCAAGTGTTGAAAAGCAAGACCATAAGCTAACATACAAGTCCCAGCAATGTAAATCTAGGACTGCAATAGACAAAAATGTGTGAACCCTATAAACCATCATTAAAGTAACATGTTGCAAATTAAAGGTCTAATTAAACAGACCAAAACAAAGTTTTCTGAACTCTGAAGAACACAATGATAAGATTCTATTATTGCCTCTCTGAGCAGCTGATTTTAGATGCCAGGCTTTCAAAGAAAACTTTGAAGCTAGAAGTCCTCAGTACTTATATAAAGCACTTACTTTCTGAAGTCCTTCTACAGTGGTAGGCAGGCTAATTAAATCTGCAGCTGACTTAACATTGGCTTTAAGGTGGTTTACTGCAGAAGTCAACAGAGAAATCTGGAAAGAAAAGGAAAAACAAACAATGAAAACAGAACTCATAGATATGTTTCCTTCACAAACTACAAGGCTGATGAAGTCAAGGTACACTTTCAGTTCGCAGGAATAAGGAACTAAAAGTATCTTGGATAGGGTTGAGATTCAGGAGGCAGCAATAATACCCTTTCTTTCCCTGCCCAATTTAAACTAGTGCCAAAGAGGGAAAGAGAGGTTATTATTCTTTATCCTAGTCCTAGCAGTTATAAGGTCTAAAATCTTAAATTACCCAAAAGATGCAGTGATTACATACAATCCTTCAATAGTTAGACAAGAAGAAAGCTAATGATCAAGGACCACTTCAAGGTTTCATTTTGGTAAAATATAACACCCTCAGTTATTTAACTGACTTTTGTTCCAGTCCATGTGGGAACATATTTTATAAAATAAAAGCCCGTCATTACAAAATATAGTCTAAGGAACTATACCTTGACAATTTGAACAGTACTTTCAACTACTTAGGGATTTGGTTTTGGTTTAATAATGTGATTAATATTTCAAACTCAATAACTCAGCCAAAGCACTACTTTGTACCCTGAAGGGGCTCAATAAATACCACTGACTCATTGACTGATTCAATGAATGTATTAAAACAGGAGTTGAATCAAAATAAAATGTGGCTTCTCTTCTGCTACTTAGGGGTAGAATTCTAAATACCTGAACTTCTCTCTTGCATGGAGACTGGGGTAACTTTTATAATGTTCAATTTCGGGCTGCAGAGATAATATTCTAAGGAGGCTTGTAGTGTAGCTCAAAAAACTTCAAAGGGGGAAGGGAGGGGGCATGGAGTTAGAAATGATGGTGGAATGTGATGGACATTATTATCCAAAGTACATGTATGAAGATACAAATTGGTGTGAATATACAACTAGATATGAAAAATTATGCTCTATATATGTAATAAGAATTGTAATGCATTCTGCTGTCATATAGAAATAAAAAAATTAATTAAAAAACATTCTTCAAAGATTCTCAAATCCACACTGCTTTCCTATTTCAAATTCTAGGATGAGAATTCAGATCTACCAAGCAATGATATTAAGAATGGCCATAGAGTAAACATTTTGGTGTTTCTAGGCACAGGCCAAGGACTGTGGCAGGAACCAGGAGGATATTAGACAAAAAAGAACCATATTCCCTATCATTCCTTCAACAGATGCTTGGCATCTTCTCAAGCACCGCTGCAGGCACTGAGGAGACAGTGGCAAATAAGATGACAGGGTTCTGCTCTCAAGGAGCTTTCAACTCAGCAGAAGGTGACTGAAAAACAAGAGAATCAGAAAGTACAAAATACTATGCAAAGAAGTTAACAGAGCTCCTGGAATGAGCAGCAGCTTGGTTTGGGTAAGGGAATCCAATAAAGAACTTGGGAACTCAGGAATTCAAGTTCTCATTTCCTTCTTTCCCTTTAGGACAGGTAAGTTCAAAGATTTGCCCATTTTTCATTCACTTTAATGCAACAAATATTTATTAAACCCTATTATATACCCATGGTGAACAACACAGATATCAGGGATCTTACAATGCTTATGTTTCAGTGCAAGTAGATAAACAATTTCATATAAGAAAAATATCAGATGTAGACAGCATTAGAAGAAAATTAAAATAACTTTACATGGTAAGAGTGACTGAATAGCTACTTTCGATCAAATTCAGAAAAGGCCTCTATAGAAGAAAGTTAAACTAAAATCTAAATAATAAAAAGAAATTAATCATACAAAGATTGGATGACGTATACTTCAGGGTAAATTGCTAGGGAAAGAGCTTGACATATTTAAAGAATAGAAAAAAGGTCAGGTGGCAGGACCAAATAATGTGTGTGAGGAGGGTTTGGGGGTGGGAGGTGAAGCCAAAGACACAGGAAAGGGCCAGAACAGGCAGGATTTTATATATCACAACAAAGATATGAATTGTATTTGAGCTGTGATGGGAAGAGGTATAAGCAGAATCATTACATGACTGAAGATAACCTGTAGGAATATGACTATTGCTACTCTGTAGACATATGGAAACCAGAAAAAAAGGCAATTTGAGTAGTGTAGGTAAAAGACAATGGTAGTTTGAACTTCAGTGGTAGCAGAGTTAGTGGTAGAAGTTATGACTGACATGATTTGCTGGGAAGAGGTGAGGAAGAGAGAGGAATTAAGGAAAACTACCTCAAGAAGCTGAGGGGCTGGGGTGTGGCTCAGTGGTAGAGCATTCACCTAGCACTCGTGATGCCTTGGGTTCAATCCTCAGCACCACATAAAAATAAATAAATAAATAAAAGTATGAAAAAAAAGCTGAGAAAGAGGTCACATTAAAAAAACTGATTAAGTATTAAATGTGATATTGGATAAAGTTCTGAAATAATATTAGGTGGAAAGGGACAGGCTTTATTGAAGCCTGTCCTAACTCAGACTCTGATGGAAAAGTTAACTTTTATAAATAAAAAAATTAAACAGGCATTCTTTTGAGGTTAGAAGGATGACAGTGGCATTGAGGAATGGGTAATGAACAAACAGCATAAATAAGCTCAGGGGTACTTTTTCTTCATAGTACTTCTCAAGGTGATGACTTATTTATTTGTGTGATTATTTGATTAAGGTTTCTCTCCTCTACAAGACTGTAAGCTTCATGTGCTCAAGGACCATTTCTGCTGTATCTTCCAGAGTATGCTTGTCACGAAGACAGTAATTAGTAAGCATTTGCTGAATAAATGAATGGCCGAGAATAAATACTCTGTCTGGGATGAACCTTGAGATGGGTAGTCCAAGCAGAATAGGGGGAGAGGCCAGGAGGCAGGAGATAAGGCTGATAAGTAGTAAACTTATTTTTCAATATAGCAGGCATAACAACTACTGTTTAACAACCATATCAGAGGGATGTGTGATGGTTCTAAAATATGTTTACAAATTCTTTGACAGTCTTACCTTCCTTTCCCTTCCCCTTGAGTGAGTTCTGGACTAACCTGACTTGATTTAGTGAACAGAATAAAATAGATGTAAGAATCAGCAGCTTTGGAAACTAGGTCATACATAAAAGGCATTATGATTTCCTCTCTGCTTGCTGGGATCACTCACTCTGGGAATGCTAGCTGCCATATTATGAGGACACACAAACATTCCTAGGTTGAGGTACACGTTGGGAAGAACTGAGGTCTCTTGCCGAGTTAGGCCTTCATATGTTGAAGCCCTGCTGATATCTTCAGTGCAACCTTAGAGATGCCAGTCACAACCACTCTGCAGAACTACTCTCCAGTTCCCAAGTACAGAAATTCTGAGATACTGAGTGTTATTGATTTATGCCACTAAGTTTTAGGACAACATGTAAATCAGCAACAGATGACTAATATAAGTTATGAGGATTAAATACATATGTATCTAAAGCACAGTACCTGGTACAAACAAAACATTAAATAAGCAACAGTTTTTTAGTAGTACAATTTAATGAGCACTTAGGGAATTTTCCATAAGTGTTCCAAAATATTCAGACCACTCATCAGCATCCTAACTCTAAAAACAAAAAAGCGAGAAACCTTAGCCCACAAAGGTAGATTCTCAGCAAGCTATAAAACTCTAAATAGAGTAGCAATTACATTAAGAAGGTTTTCACTCAGGCCTTTAAGAGGACATGAATAATATTAAGATTTGAAAAAGACATAAGGAAAAAGGCATTCTCAGGCATTGTTCACAGGATTATAAATTGGAAAAGCTATGTTAGAAGGTTATCTAGGAACAACCTTCAAAATTTGAAATGTTTATGTCTTTTATTCAGCAATTTCATTTCTAGAAAGCTACCCTGAATATTATTGCTCACGTATACAAAGATATATGCACAAAGATATTAAGGTCTTCCTTATGTGTAATAGCAAAGCACTAGAAACCATCTAAATATCTATCACTAAGAATGAAGATACATGTTCTACAAGTTGTAGAACAACACATATTAAGGAATACCACTTATTCCACACATACATGCTAACCAATAAGCAAATTCTTACTAAAAGCTGTCATGGTTTTCTAAATACTTAGGAAGACAAATAGAAAGATGCAGCTCATATTATTGATAATAGACAACTACAGGGGAAGGAAACACAAATGCATATGTGTGTGTGTGTGTGTGTGTGTGTGTTTGACAGATCAGGGTACAAACAGATGGGGACTAAATAACAAATAATAAAATTATTAAATAATAATAACAATGAAATGTATTTTATTATTTAAATCTTACTTAAGATTATATTCATATATTATTTATGAAATTTTTAAAAAGACAAGAGATGAGAAAAATCTTACTTAAGACTATATTCATATATTATTTATGAAATTTTTAAAAAGACAAGAGATGAGAAAAAAATACATATATATGAAAAAGTTACCACATAACTTTGGAAGAGGTTTGATGGGTCTCCTCAGCCGCCCCTTCCTTCTATGCCCTATACTAGACCTTCTAAGATCATCCAATCATAAAGAGGAGGAAGGAATTCACTCACCAAGTTATGTTTTACTCAGTGCCCCACAGTATATATATAGTTGGCTCAAAACCAATTTGATGTGTAAGAACATAGTTACTTCAGATGCCCTATTAATTATGTGATTACCTTTTGGCCACCAGAAGGAACAAATTTCTTCCCATGACAGCTGGCCTTCTAAAGGGACAACAAACTTCTCTGGGTAGAGTGATCTAGGTAGAAACTATTGTCCCAGATTCCACGACATCCTGAGGTTATGGCAGAACTAGTCAGAAGTAGCTCAGGAATGGTTTTGGCCTCACAAAAGGCCAGTGTGGTTATTTAGCATGTGTCCTTTTACCCAAAACCAGAGAAGTAGCTAGAAGCCAATGTAGGTAGAATTAGGTGAGGTACTGTTTCCCCTCTCCTCATACCACAAACACTCTAGGCCTAGGGTTTCAGTTGCACCACTGAAGAGTATGCTCTGAAGAGCTGACCATCAACTTGGCAGTTACCTAACAAACTTAAAAGA